ATCTTCAGTTTCTTTTTCATCTGTTAAATTCATTCTTTGACTGGAAAAAGCGAAAGAATATTGGATACACCAGATCGATAGCATTTCTGCAAACTAATCAGATAGAAAACATAAAAAGAACTCACAAGCATATTATCTAATCGCATCAACTGTGGATCTTCAGGTTGATCGTCGGTGGCTGTACGGATTTGCAGTGCTAAAAATTCTCTCAACTATAGACTTTCAGAATGTTCACATGAATTATAAAAAAAACAACTGTCGCTACAAAAAGGTGAGGAAAGTTTATTTCTTAATGTACTTGATTCAAAAAAATATGCAAGAACGATGGAGCAAAAAAGTCGTGACAAATTTTCACCTGTTTTTTCCTTTACTTCGCACAAAACATCAAATAGTGCTTGTCTCATTGGATGACACTGTAATGCATGCTTTCTGAAAAAGCGAAAACATGAATTTATCTGGAAATCTAAGCCTACATTTTATTCATCAATTGGTATAAGAACCCGACTAGACTATCTCATATATTCTAAACATTAGAACACTTCTAAGAAAGGAGTAACAATATTACACCGATAATGTTAACTGTTATACAGAATATTCCACCTCGGGCAGGAGTTGAATCCACGTCTCACTCTTTCCCGGGGACGTAAGAAAGCAGTTGAATAAATAATTCTTGCCGATTACATGTACATCCAATAGCTAGTAGCGTAACTAGGCTCAATAGTGATATGCGTTCTTCAACTTCAACTCGCTTGCTGACATTTCAATATTCTATATCGCAGAAAGAATGATAGCAAAACAGGAGCGTGGCAGTGCCGTGACTAGTACGCGTCTTCGGAAAAGACTAGAATCGGGTTCAACTCTCGCCCGAGGTTCAAAGTATTGCATATCAGTCAGCATTCATAATCAGCAGTTTTTTCAGACTTCGCTGAAATCAATATTAACAAAAATGTTTCTTTCTGAATCTTTCATGCGACATGTTATGGATACTTGTACAGTGAAATACACGTGTTTCGGCCTCGCAGCCTCGTCAGTTGCACGGTGTATTTCGTCTCAGCCAGTATCCCTTGGGGGAAAACCCTTTTACATAAATAGATCGTCGAAGAACATGTCACACTGTCGCGTGTAATGTGAAATTCACTTAAAAAAAATCAAAATTTACTATAAAAGACCTTATGAAAGGCTCACAAAACACTATCAGAATTTATTGCATTGAGTTAGATTATGGAAAAAAAAGTGGAAAAAATGGAAAAAAGTCGAATTTGAAACTATAATAACACATATTGAATAAAATCGCGCCGAGTTCAAACGATTTTCATTTCAAACGCGGTATAACATGTTCGCCCATGGTTTCTTTAAGCAAGGTGGTTCTACCACAAAAGGGATTGGCTCAAGCAAAAAGCACCGTATAATTATGAGGCTGCAAGGGCGATGCACTGTATGAGTGCCTATAAGAAAACCTCATGATGAAAGGTTCAAAACAACATCGCCACTCAAATTATTGGATATATAGTTATAACATCGTAGAACTGCTGAAAATGCAATCAAACAAATAATTATGGTCAATTATATATGACACTTACTTCACGTTATCGTTGTCCTCAAGCGTTTGTTCAGAGATCTTTATAAGCTCTTGGAGCAGATCATTCAACGAGCCTGGACTTGGGTCCATTGTGCCCACCATACTTGAATTATGATAAATTTACGAAATAAACGTGATAGCAGAGAAAAAAAATCCCGAATATCATCATACTGAATACACTCACATGACGTGCGAAAGCAAATGACATGCCGACTAAAAAAATGCCGATTATGGAAGTTAAGTGAACTACATCAAAGTCTCAAAAGCATTGGAATTCAAAACTTGGGTAATAAAACTTAAAAAAGGTAATGTAATAGGATCACAAGAGGATTTGGAAAGCCACCTACTTACGCAATATCATGATTTTAATTGAATTCGTACAGAATCTTTTTTGATAGGAAGATGCAAAGTTGTTAAAGTGGTATTTATTGAATGCAATGATAAAGGACAATAGATAGCGCATGTGACGCAGTGGTTAAAAGAGCCGTGCAAAACAAACGTGGTCGATCAATCGATGGTTGATAATTCGTTCCCGCGTTCAAAGCTCATCGACCCTTGCATATCCTTGGGGTAAGTGAATTGTTCAGACTTGGATAAGAGGATAGCAACATGACCAGATACATTGTTATTCCCGCCACATTACAGAAGCCAAATATGCATCCAATCACCCCAAACGAAGGTTTATGAAGGCCGAGAGCTTTATGCTTTAGTACAATAATAATAATACTATGGATCGCATAGTGGGGGTCAACCTCTTTGATATGTGGTCAAAAAATTTGTACATTTCGTCTTTCAGTCGAGGTTATTGAGGCATTTGACTTAATAAATTACGAATCAATTTGACCTTCTTTCTGGACTCTTAAGCGGCGAAACGTGATCGATCATCAGTGTACTGTATTATTTTTATCATAGTCTGGTAGAATGCTCCAAGCTTTCAGAGATTTGGCACGGCATTTCAAATGGTGTGCGTACGCCTCGTAACGGCCGTTAGGTATCGACTGAAAATCGGTATGCACAGCAGCATCAAGTGATGCTTCACTTTTCTAAATTGATACAGCTGGGACAGTGCCATTATAAAAGCAGGGGTGAAGCGTAAGGCACCGGCATTGATGAGGTGTGCGAGAACGCCAAATGTACGTACACACTCGAAATACCACACCGAACCTCTGAAAGGCTTGGAACATTTTGTCAGTATTGTGTTATGTATTGATAATTACTACCAATAACAACCTTTCTCTGTTTAGAAAGAGATAAATAGAGCTCTCGGAGTTGATCAACCCTGAGGTATGCGTCATGCATTCGCCTTCAATTTTAATTTCGTTTGAGGTGACTGAATGCATATCTGGGCCTTTACAATGACTCGCGGTAACCTCCCTCTGTATCGGGTCAGTGCTGCTTATCCACCCAGGTAAGTACGAGACTATGCTGGCACCAATTTACCGACCCCACAGGAATGAATGGAACAGTGAGCCTTGAGCGCGACATCGAACTATTGACCTCGTGCACGACGCAGAGCACCTCTGACCACTGCGCCAGATTCGTTCGTCTTATTCGTCGATTCGGCTTAACTAAATTACTGTTGATGTTGATTTTGAGGAGTGCTTTTTAATATATGGAGTTCAGTTCAAAGAGGGTACCGTTGCCACGAAATATCTGATCTGGCAAGCGCTCGAATTTCTCATTAGGTTGCCTTACCAGACCGCCTATCGTTTCCTGGTTAACATGGTTGGTGATGTTCATAGAAGTAGAACTACACTGTGTCTAGCTTCACATACAATGGAATTAGTCTCCTGCCGATATATGAGCTTTACCGTAGACTCTGAACTAGGAGAGTTCAGCGGATAGTTATGATGGAAGACAGAGTTAAATGAAATATTTACTGCTGGCCAATGGAGCCACTGGGTGATTAACAGAATGACGGACGGCATAGGTGACCTTGAGGGAGAATGTAAGAAAGCCTTGAAGAGGGGAGGGAGATAGCGAAATGATTAGTGATGCAGAAGCGAGGTGCTGGTTCGACAACCCTTCCAAACGCTTTCTTGTAATCCACATTGGAACACCTTAGCTGAACTATCTCCAATATTTCAAGGAGTATCGGCTTGTCCTCAAGTATTTTACGAAAATCATGAAAGAGACCAAATCCCCAAGCAATGGTGGAACTGCTGAGATCCGCTCGGTTAATTTCACGAGTAGTAACTCAAAAGTCTGACACCGACATGAGTAAGAAAATGCAACGATTCTTACAAACTGTCCTATTACTTAATCAAAACTTGCGTGAGACTGGTACTTCTCTTGTCTCAAGTTTCTCAAAATTCGATGGCTAACGTTCCGGTGGTCCCGCGTTCGTGGAGCTTTCTTTAAATATATTCATTTTTCACAGTGTGTCTCATAAGACTGATGACCTCTCTTATAAAACCCTTTGAAGACCGAACGGTACGTTTCGTGCCGTGCCGCGCGACGTCACACCTCACTCAAGTACTGTAATGGCAGCGTCGCTTATCGTGGGTAAGCAGGCGCAAACGACCAGGCATGCATGCAGAAACATGCAAATGCCGCCTTCTACGGCTTCCGCGAAAGCGATGGCGCGACGTCGCCTGCCTATCAACGCTGGTTGTCAAAGGGTTGAATATAAAGAAGGCTCTGACGAAGGCGGGGAAAATGTTAGCCATTGAATTTCGAGAAAGCAGAAGTACTAACCTCGTGCAAATTTCAGTCAGGAAAAGGACAATTTGTACGAAATATCGTTGTTACACAAATCATGCTACTAATATATATTGCTCACATCATAATTACACCACATTGTGGTGAATAATAGAAGAAACAATCACTCTCCACTGGTTCAAATTCGAACACGTGATGCTATTTATTTATGCGTCACCTGTCCTTCCGGTTCGCTCGATGGACGGAAATAAGCACCATAAATTTTCGGCGATCAATTCCACTTTTTACCACTGAGCAGCTCGAGGCGCTTCATTATGGGGGTTGGCTGTACTGAGTGTGGTAGATTGCTAAGTTTGTTCGAAACGAACATGATGTTTACTTCAATTACTATTTGCTAGTCGTCTGCCATGTCTTTCTGATCATTTGCCCAAATTCTCGGGAAAATTGTCGAATATAATCATTAAAACTATCAGACGAACATATGGCACGATAAAGAACCAAGTTCCCACTCACTCAGTTATTGACTCGGCAATAGGAAATAAATTTTACTCGATAAACATTCCTAAAAGTAACCTCAACCTAGGTAAATCTTCCAAAAGTGACAAGAAAACAATAAAGTCGGGGTCAATTTCAGAGCGTTTGATACAGGTTGATACAGAGAAAATCTATATAACTATAGCTTCTCACAAAGAATAACAAATTGTCAAAACTACAACAAACATATAGAGGCAACCAATGACGTTGGGTAGCATGCAAAACTTGGAACCTCAGGCGAGAGTTGAACTCGCGTTCCATCCACAGTGGAATGCGTGCTTCCACTACATCATGAAGACCACCGCTCTACTGTCATACTTTGTTCGATTTAGCATCAAAACTGTTAGTCTCGTAAAATTTAGATATTCAGATATGACAAATAACTATTATATTGTGTAAAATATTGTAACTGCGATAAATATTGAAAAAAATAGAAAAGAGAAGATGGACTTTTTACTTTACTTCATTTGATCTGTGTAACAGTTTCTTCTACTCTGCGGGCCGCAATACCTAGCAGTCGATTGGTCTCCTAGCTTGCTTAGGGTTTTCATCTTCTTCACGAACGTCGTAGGATACTGGTCGAGCACATCTCTTAAAATCGCGAAGATAGCCTGGCTGAGGAGTTCGCTACTCATTGCCGGAGTGCTTAGGGAATTAACCCCGCGCGTCGAGCATCATCAGCCATTCACCCATAGACCCAACCCTCCTCCCGAAGAGAAAAAAAAATACTACCTTTTTTTCTAAAAACAACAGACAGGGCATTAAGTGATCATAATCACTTCGAAACACACTATTTGTTTTGCGGTTTATGAATTTCGCAGCAAAAAAATTAGACGAAAACTGCACAGTAAAGTTTCAAGTAAAATCAGTTGAAAGTAAAACAAAGACAGAGCAAGATATTTTGGGAGCCACAGATACGAGTATGTCACTCCAAGAGTCCTCATGATCTCACTACGTTTTCGCAGTGCTATGATATTTCACCTAAGAGAATTGAGTGGTAGGGAAGAGTTCAACCTTAGACATCAGTTTGACCCACGTTTCACCCTATACCGGGAGAGCGTGCGACCACTACACCACCGAGGCCGCTGCTTACCCACCACTCAATTTTCAAGGGATCTCAAAAAGTGAGTAGTGGATAAGCGCTGGCCTCGATGGTGCAGTGGTAGCACGCGCCTCCGGTATGGATTGAACACGGGATCCTCCCGTCAGAGGGCGTTTTTGCTCGCCACTCAGTGCACTTGAAACATTATAACACTGCGAAAAAGCAGCAAAAGCACTAAAAAAATTATAAATATTATACCTATTGGCCAGCGTTCCACCTATAACGAAGGCGCGCGCTACCACTACATCACCGATACCACCGCTTACCCACAACTCATTCTTCAAGATTTTTCTATCACAGCTATAACTCACCAATTTTAACAACTTTGGTCGGGTGAGCAATATCGCCCCATAAACCTAGTTAAGCTGACAGTCATTGCACTTATTAAAATCCAAGAATTCTTTTGTTTACTGCTTGAAGAATCAGCGGTGGGTAAGCAGTGGTCTCAGCAGTGCAGTGGTAGCATGCGCCCCTGGTACGGATGAAACGCAGGTTCAACTTTCGTCTGAGGTCTAATTTTTGCCTACCACTCATAACTCACAGAGTGCAGCACTGCTGAGGCCGGCCCTTACGTGAGTATGATTACCTACGTAATACCAGAAAACTCCAGACACTTCTTGAAAAGAAAGAACTAGAATAGTGAAGTGGTGATGCTCATGGTTACAGCTAGATTACTGATGTAGACAAGAACGGTATAATATGAATGAATTAGCAATAACAAAGCAAAAAACAAACAAACAAACAATGAAGGCATGACGAAATAAAGGAGTCCTTGAGACGTATAAAATAGTAATATGAACTCGCCTTCCTACCGGTAATTACGGAAGTCTCCTGCTATATGAAAATCTGCTGCTTGATAATTATTTGAATAAATAACAAGTAATTTTTATTTATTCAGAAGACTCGTTATCAATATTTCTCACAAATTGCCCTTCTCTTGATTGAAATTTGCACGAGGTTAGTACTTATCCTTTCTCAAAATTCAATAGCTAACATTTCGGCGACCCCGCCTTCGTCAGAGCCTTCTTTATATTCAACCCTTTGACAACCAGCGTTGATAGGCAGGCGGCGTCGCGCCATCGCTTGTGTGGAAGCCGTAGAAGGTGGCATTTGCATGTTTGTGCATGCATGTCTGGTCGTATGCGCCTGCTTACCCACAACTGACGCTGCCTTTACAGTAGATGAGTGAGGTTTGACGTCGCGCGGCACGCCACGAAACGTACCGCTCTGTCCTTAAAGGGCTATACGGAAGAGGTCACCAGTCTTACGAGACACACTGTGAAAAATGATTTTCTCTCCCGCATTTATACACATACATATATATGTACACATATATACACATATATATACATATATGTATATATATGTATATATAAGAAAATAATATATACATAAAGAAAGCTCCGACGAATGCTGGGTCACCGAAACGTTAGCAATCAAATTTTGAGAAAAGAGAAGTACCAGTCTCACGCAGGTTTCGATTGAATAATAAGACAGTTTGTAAGAGACGTTTGCATTTTCTTACTCATGCCGAAGTTCAGAGAGTCGGACTTTTGAATCACTACGCGTTATGAAGGATCTCAGCAGTTCCACCATTGCTTGAGGACTTGGTCTCTTTCATGAATTTTATAAATACTCAAGGACGAACCGATCCTCCTCAAAATGTTGGCGATATTCCGGCTAAGGTGTTCCAATGTGAATTGCAGGAAAGCCTTTGGAACGGTTGTCGAACCAGCACCTCGCTTCTGCATCACTAATCATTTCGCTATCTCCCTCCCTCTTCAAGGCTTTCTTACATTCCTCCACAAGGTCACCTATGCCGTCCGTCAATCTGTTAGTCACCCAGTAGCTCCATTGGCCAGCAGAAAATATTTCATTCAATTCTGTCTCGCATCAAAACTATCCGCTGAAATCTCCTAGTTCAGAGTCTACGGTAAAGCTCACATGTCGGCAGACTACACTTTATGTGAAGCTAGACACACTATATTTCTACTTCTATGGACATTAGCAACCATGTCAACCAGAAACGATAGGCGGTCCGGGTGAGGCAACCTAATGAGAAAATCGAGCGCGAGCCAGATCAGATAATTTGTGGCAACGGTTCCCTCTTTGAACTGAACTCCATATATTAAGAAACATTTCTTAAAATCAACATCAACAGTAATTGAGTTAAGACACGAACGCACCTGGCGCAATGGTTAGAGGTGCTCTGCGTTGCGTACGAAGTCGATGGTTCGATCTCGTGCTCAAGGCTCACCAAGCCATCCATCTCTTCGGGGTCGGCGAATTGGTACCGGATTGGTCGCAGACTTATCTGGGAGGATAAGCAGCACTGACTCGATACAGCGGAAAGCCATTGCGAATCATTGTAAAGGCCAGACATGTATTCAATCACCTCAAACGAAGTAAGAAATTGAAGACGAATGCACGGCGCATCCTTCAGGGATTGATCAACGCCGACCCTTTATCCTCTAAGCTAAGCCATCAAGATTACTCGTAAACGACATGGTAGAAGGTTCCCGCGTAAATCAATCCTTGAAGAAGGCGCCATGCATTCACTTCATCGAGCATCGTTCGAGGTGACTGATTCAATACATACCTGACATTCACGACTCTTGTTGGCCTGCTGAAAATCAAATCAGTGCTGTAATCCTCCCAGACAAGTCTGGCACTAATTCATCGACCAAGAAGAGATGGAAGGCTTGATGAGCTTTGGGTCGCGGATCGAACCATCGATCATTCACTGATGGACCACCACGTATGTGCGCAAAGCACCTCTATCCTCAGTGCTACGCGCGTTCACCAGACTCGATATAAAAGTGAGATAAACCAGTAGCAATAGAAGTTAAAACAAAATAGGCTGGTCTTAAACGATCTGAATTAAGTAAATAAGAGTGAATATGGAAAACAAAGAAGCCTATGATCGTGAAAAAGAAGGAAAACACTTGCTTACAGAATGTTTAGTAAACATGATTCGTAAGAAAAAAGAAACGGAAGTACTGAAATAACAAAGTGGAAAACCACCTTCTCTTGGTGATCATAAGATACAAATGAGCAATGGCTTTATCCGCACTTACTAAGCCCAAGATAATTACCTCGATTCTATATAAGGACTACGAGAAAAGAATTCATATATGCTAATGATCATTATCTTCCAGATGGTTTACCGCCTCATCGTGGCTGGGAGGTGTTTCTGGGTGCCGCACTGCGAAGTAAAGAGGGGAGTTCAACCCCTAGCAATGACACCTAAGCTGAGAATGAGTCCCCCAGCTAAGAGTAAAGCGTACCAGGATTGACCGCCGCCTTGGTAACTACTAGTCGCAAGGTGGTAACCTTCCTCCAGTCCACTAGGCCCGGCGACTGCTCTAATGTGGTGACGACCTGAAGAAGCCCTGGCTCGACTGACCCCGGATCTGCAAAGAACAAAACGGCGAAACCACGCATTTTGATGTACAGGGGTCCGCACAACTCGCATCGATGGACCTGTCCAGATATCCGGGTAAGTAGTCACTTTAAGGTTTTTCGAAGTTCTCACAAGTGGATAACCCTTCTTCCTCGAGAATTTCTATGATTGTTTTGAAAGACTATGGCGACTGTGTTTTCGGATCGACTGCAAGATTCCACTGTTTCCTGGATTCAATTCCTTTCCTCGCATCGATTATGCATGAAAGTCTTCGAAGTTTTCACATATGTATTCCACTTCCTGGAGAATTTCTATTATTGCAATGGCTGTCGCATAATGCTGATTGAGACGATTCTCCCTGGAGTCCTGAGATTATCGAGTGCTAGAGCATTCCAAAGTGATTTGAGGGACTTAGAGGTGACTTGATGGAAATTCGGGTACCAAGACAAAATCAATAACGTGGATACTGATGACATGAAGCTAAAGGATAAAACTCTCAGGCGTCATGCAAATTTCAACTTCATTTGAGGTAAATATCTGGCCTTTACAATGACTCGCGTTGGCCTCCCTTTGACGCTAGTCAGTGCTGCTCATCCTCCCAGACAAGTCTGAGAACCATCTGGTACCAATTTTACCGACCCCGGAGGGACGGATATCTTGGTGAGCCATGAGCGCGGGGTCGAACCATCGACCTTGTGTGCGACGCAGAGCACCTCTGCCTCACACGCACTCTTGCCGATAAGTATGACGATAGTTCAACTGAATAAATAAATGCTCCAATCTATGAGAACAAA